TACCCTCAACAGCTATAGCCTCAACAACTATACCCTCAACAGTGATATCCTCAACAGCTATAGCCTCAACAACTATACCCTCAACAGCGGTAGCCTCCACAGTACTACCATCTTCTCCTACTAAAGTGGCAACATCAGTAACAAACGGTAATTATTATGTCCAAGAACAATTGTCTTTTACTAATAGTATTACTTTATCATCTCTTTTAATTACTATTACTGTACCAACAATCTCTGGTATGTCCAGTCCAGCTTCTTCTGCAAACTTCCCGGGTAACACCGTATCCTTAGCAATCAGTACTACAGCTGCTAGTTATATATATACATTTCAACTTATTAATGGACAGACACTTGCAGCTAGTAACTATCAACTATCTGTTCAATTTAATTTGAATGGTATTTCTAGATCTACCACTAATGATACATATACAATACAAATAAATTCTTATCAACCAGTTTATGGACATTTTTAATTCAATATATAACTTTATTTATTCAAATAGATTGTAAATTCCATCTAAACATTCATATTCATAATCATTCATATAAATATTTGTAAAAATTTTAAAACCAATTTTTTCATAAAATCTTATAGCTCGTTTATTATGATGTAGTACACCACCCCAAAGAATAATACGTTCTTTACCCATTTGTCGTGCAATAGTTTTTATTTTCTCAAATAACCAACAACCTAGATGACGATTTTGATATTCATCACTAATACATGGACCAAATCTTATGTCAGTTATTTCATTTAATTTAATATTATATTTTTCTTCAAAACGTTTTCGATCATCTTCAACAATAGATAAACTAAATTCAAATAGAGCAATAATTGTTTCATTATTAATTAGAGCAATAAGACGTAATTTATCATAACGATTAATTGCAAAACATAATTGACGAGCTTCATCGATATCATAACTATTACGAGTAGAAAACTGACGTGTTTGTTCACTTAGATTTTCGAGAAATTTACTTAATTTTATATCATCAGTTCTTAATAATGGACGAAAATAAATTAAAATTCCTTGAAAACAATCACAACTACTAATCAATTCAGGATTTTGATCAATATCATTCAATGTAAGTGTCATTAATCGTAGAAAGAGATCTCGTTTTTTTTTCTTCTGGATTTTCTATGAAACAGATTAATAAACAAGAATAACAGCAACAAAGAAAAAAGAAAATTTATAATAAGAAGTTACACATAAATATAAACATGTACCGTCGAAGATAATACAAAAAAAAGATATCTTTGTCTATATAAGATATTAACTGCGAGATAAAAACTCTCTATAAGCGATAATAATATAGAGTGCAGCACATAATATGATTAAAACATCATCAAATAAACCAAGAAAACCGAGAATACTTTCTGGTAAAATGTCCAATGGTGAAATAATATATGCAATTACAGTGAAAAATATAAAAATAATCCGTAAACGATACGCCCAAGCTATACTTTGAAAAGTAAATATTTGTCGAATTATATAGGGAATTAACACAGGTATATCAGAAATGTATTCACGAAACTATAAATATAAAGAATTTTTAATTAGTTCAATAATAAATAAAATAAAATTTTACCGATCTTGGAGCACCAGAAAATCGTCGATTAAAATCTCGAACATCATTTATGACCGTTTGACGATCTCCATTATCTGGTGATGTTTCTTCATCAGTAGTAAAACATGTAAGAAGGACGGTGACCTAGAAAATATTAACATTTATTAAATGAAGATCACCGTTAAAACTTAAGAAAGAAATACATACCGATTGTCGACATACTGGACATTTCATTCCACTCATCCAATTCGCTTGATATTTCCAAAATGTAATTATACAATTACCTAAATTAATATATATATTATTTGTTTGTTTTTCTTCAATTAAAACTTGTACAAACCACAAAATAAATGTCCACAATTTGTTTCAACACTTAATACTGATGAATCACTAAGACAAATTGGACAAACATCATGACGAGGTCGACCAGTAAGTGCTGATGGTATTATTCCATTAGCTGTATTTGCTTGAGCATTTTGTTGAGCACGTTCACGTAATATTTCAACATCTTGTCGATTATCTGGATGAATATTTGTATTACGTTCACGACTAATTTAATAAAAAATTTGACAAAAATGAATTTTACAAATATAATAATTTTACTTTGAATAATAAACCAAAAGACCAATTAGACTTAATGTAAAAACAAATAAAAGTATTGCATCATCACTGATACCTTCAATATATGTCGGATTATTAATCGAATATGTTTCTGTTGATACACTATTCTTCGCAAAAGGCCAATACCACGGCATATTTCTAAATGTATGAAGTAAATAAGCCACAACTCACGCTTTCATTCGTTCTTTACAAAATGCTTTATTGCATAGATAGGAAAACATATTTTTCCTTATACAATGATGACTCATTCTCTATAAACGATACTAATGAGTCATATTGTTATGTATTATTTTTGAAATGATGACATGGTTTTTTTTGTATGAATTAAAACACTTTACTACCGTAGACTTTTAACTCAAACTGAAAAAAGATAAAAATCGATCTAAAATACATGTATATATATAGAAGCAAGTCATTCTAATTGTAAATGTTGAACAAAGAGAGGTAAATCAAATGTTATATATTTTTTATATTTGTTTTTTTTTATATAAAGCCACAAACGTTAACTAAACTGCATTGCTCTCGTTGATGATTTGTTTATAAATTCTTTTTTCGGTATAAAGGAGGAATAATAACAACGAGGCAATAGAAACTGTTTTCTTCGTCTACAGGGAAAATATGGATAATACAAGAAAAAAAACTGAAAGAGAAGAAAAAAAAAGAAGCTAGTGTCATTGTATGATTTAATGGTCTTTTGGTTTGGGTCTGTAGAAAGCAATTTTGCGTGATTTCAGTGATGCCCATTTGACACGTTTCCAATGATAAGATATAACAACCAAAGGAACAAATATAAGAACAGCTTTAATAGCTAATTTTTTACGTTCATCATGGTCACGTTCGGCAGTCCATTTAAGAAATTCTGTAACATCTTTAGCTAATTGTGCTTCAGTAGCTTTTGTTCCATCCGAATATTCAAGTTGATCATCATACAATTGTTTAGCCATAGCAATCCAACCACCACTAAAATATGGATTGTAATGAAGGTTTGGTTCACCTTTAACGCCAGCTGGTGGATCTTGATAGCCGGTTAATAAATTAAATATGTAATTACAGCCGTCCTCACGACCTAAAAATAAATAAATTAGTTTTTTTTATTATAAAGATTCCAGTCATATCTAAAGTCTAATAAATTTTATACACATAGTTCAGTATGGAATCTATTCTTTTACGTAGACGTTATAAGTTTATAATACAAGTAACGCTCGTCGAAGGACTAGCTTAGCTCTTTTTTGTAGAAATGGTGTTCTACAATGCTACGGGATCTTTTGCTTGTATAACTTGCAAAAACTAACATCAGATTCGTGTTCCCCGATCTCAAATAACGTTTCGTCAAATCTTATATCAAAAAAAATGTTTTCGGCAAAATATTGGTCCTTTGTCTAGAAACGGTTTTTTCTTAAAGAATTTTAAAAAACTAACATCAGATTCGAAGTCCCTGCGTCGAAATATCTCTAGAAATGTCTTTTCTGACAAAGTGGTCGTCGATGTTTTTTTGACCCTGTGGACAAGCAAGCAAACAAACAATTTATGTTTACTGGACTCTTCTCTACGACAAAGAGGATATATTGAATTCAAACTTTTATTGTTTTTAAAAATAATTGAGATATATCTAAATGTACTATTCATTTTATTTTTCCTCTTGAAAATCGTTTATATAGTTAAAAAATAGTTAATTTCTGTTCACTATCTAACATATGAGGAATTAAGTTGTTATTATGTCACTATTACAAGGCTCTATTAATAAAATGTTCTCAAATGATACTAAAACAAAAAATATTTCTAATTACAGTCTGTTTTATTATCAGTTTATATAAATTCATGATATCAAACTGTAGAAATATCCTCTCATAAGTCCTGAAAGATGTCGTAGATACTATTAGTCATTTTTTCTATTAAACTAAATTTATTATTATCATTTTTATACATACCAAGTGAGATAAGTGAAAGATCCGGTGGTAAAGCTCCAGCATTTCCTGCTTTAGCTGCCTAAAATATATACATATATATAGCAATGTTTAATTCGTAGTATAAAATAATTTAAAATACTAACCTTATCATTAGGATAAGGTGATGGTAAATAATCCGTAAGTTTACCAGGCCGTTGAAACATATTACCTTGATCATCTGGTCCATCAGTAATTTGATCTTGAGCAGCAATTGTTTTAGCTTCTTCTTCTGTATGCGTAACACCAACCAAGTGACGATAAGCAACAAATTTCAATGAATGACAAGCTGCACAAACTTGTTTATAAACTTCAAAACCACGACGTACAGAACCATGATCAAGTGAATCAAATGGACCACGAAATGACCATGGTAATGGAACTAAATGTGCTTTATTACCCGATGCATGAACAGCTTGAGAATAAGCCCAAGCGTAACCTAAAGCACCGGTTGTTAAAAGACCACCACCTAATTGATATGCAAGACGTTTCCATCGAACTGATGTTTGAGTGGATGAAGAAGATGCATTACGAAGAATATAAACTAATACTTGATGATTTTGCCGACTTGTTCGACATAAAATTGTTGATGTCATTATTATGTACTGTAATTCCAATTAGATGGTATCTATCACATGGAAAAACAAAATCTTAAAATATAAGAAGATTTGAGTAGAAGAAAAAAAAGAAAAAGAGAAACGAATATATGTTTACGATTACAACGTTAGCTAGGATCTTCCATCGATTGGTATTATTAAACTCCTAATGAATCGATTTATGTCGCTGTTTTATAAGAATAATTAATATGAAAATTTTTATTAGAACTATGTTGAAAATTTATTAAATTAAAATATGTATAAATATGAATTTATAAATGAAAGTAGATGGCGCTAATAATTCAGGTTTGACTGATTTAATAGTATAAACCAATAGATTTTGTATTGTTGTCTTCTTTCCCTTTCTCTTTGGTTTGTTTGACGCAGTACTGTTCTAGTTTTCTCTTTTGGAGACATTTCTGTAAGGTATATTGACTTTTTTCAAAGCATTTTCATAGAAACCACTATAATGAATCATCCTGTTGTATACAAAATCGTTTAATTATATTCAATATGTGACTAGTATAAATTGTTCAATAATCAAATATTTATATATTAGACCAATTATAATACGAGCATATGTCCACTACTTTAATATATTATAGTGTTTTATTTAAAAGAAAGAAATAGTTTGTTATTTGAAAATTTGTGAATAAGAAAGTATAAAGCAAAGTAGAGTTTGATCTATGAATGACGAGTGTCATTTATTTTTCAGTCTTGATAGGATATATATTTTCAATCATCTCAAATCTATTTTAGAATAAAATGGTGATTGGCGTTAGTAATATACTCGACTGTCTCGAGTTAAATACGCCGTTTCATAAACGTGATATAGAAGAATTAATTCGTAATCAACGTCAAAATACGATTGACACAAATCCATCAAGTCAACTTCATCATCTTATAATTGATGTTGATACAACATTAGAACGTCTTTATGGTGGTTTTTATCCAGATTGGTTAGCTGGTGGTGAATGGTCACATCTTTATTCTTATGTATTATCATTACTTAAAACATGTCAAGAATTATCGCTATGTCTTATATTCTGTTTCGATGGTACGATCTATCGTTGTGGACAATCTCAATGGTATTATGAACAAATTCAACAACGAAAAAAAGTTAATCAAATATTTAAACATTTAAAACAAAATAAATCAGGTTTACCACGTCATCATCTATGGTTATCTCCACCTTCATTTCAATTATGTTTAAGAACAATTTTACGTGAATTAAATTCTCCACATTTAATTATGTATCAAACATGGGGTTATGGACAATGTCAACATCAAGAACAAGTGAAAACATATGCTAAACAATATTATCAAAGTTTAATTGGAATTGTATCATCTGATATTGAATTTTTATTTTCAACAAAATTAGATGAAAATAATATTTTATTAAGATATTTTTCCTCAAAACATTTTAAATTATCATTAAAAGGAAAATTAACACTTGTGGAAATTAAACTAAGCCAATTAAAAGATAAATTTTCTCTTGATAATAAACAATTTTCTCTTCTTCTATCATTATTAGGTAAATTAAATAATATATCTATATATAATTACTTTTCTTTTCTCTATTAAAGGTAATCATATTTTATCCGATAGTGATTTAATACATTTTCATACTGATCTACTGCATGATCAAGATTTTACAACACCTTCATCAAAACGTATTTTAACTGTAAGTTTGCATTGTTGATGAAAAAATACTATCGAATTTAATCATGATTTCTAAAATTCGTTTTTTGTTTATAGAAAACTAATGGAACTGTTTCATCTTCAGTTGACGAACCGTCTATATCAGAAAATAAAACGGACATATGCTCTCCTGATAATAATACTCTTGATACAAGTGAAGATCATCAACAAACATCACCAGTACATTTTCCTACACAATCACGTTCTAACGGAACTAATTCTTCGATTAATTCAACAGTTGATCAACTTATTCCACGACTTATTGATTATATTAAAAAACAAAATATTGAGAATGATATCGATTTTAATTTTATTACTAGTCAAGTTTTTAAGTAAAAGTTTTGTCTTTTTGTAAATTTTTAAAAATAGTTTATCTTTCATATATATATAGGCATTTAACAGATGATGAAACACGTAAAGTTAAAACACAATTATTAATTGATTCATATGAATATTATTTAAAAGCACTTATCGAAAGTCAATCAGTAACAGATTCAAATGAAACAACAGATACTTCTACAACGTCTTTCTCTTCTAATTTTTCTTCTAGTCAAGGTAAGATATTATTTACAAATATAACTATGACACTAAAATTCTGATCTGTTGTATTGAGAAAGATATAGCAGAAAGAGAGTGTACATGTCTCTATTGTATAGATTACATGGTAAATATTTCTCTGATCAAAGATGGTATTCGATAAGATATATTTTCCATGTTAAAGTGACTTCAGTACTAAACATATTTTCTTACCTTTTCTCTATTTCAGACCACATGAATTCTATCTAGCCGACAACCTTAATCTCTTTTTTTTATAAGTCCGATTTTGAATCAATTTTTCTTTTAGTACCAGTGAACAAGTCAGATGATAATTTAATGTTAGAAAATTGTTCAGGAGTGAATATTGAAGTAGTACGTACTGCTTTTAATTTACATAAACAAGGCTTAATGATGCCATGGATCTTTCAATGTCTTTATAAAGTATATATATATTTATTATTTTCTCCTTAAGTTCATTAAACTATTTTTAATAAATCTGTAGCATGAAATAACTTTTCCAGTAACAATTGAACCAGAAATGTGCAATACAATTCCAAGTGTTTGTGAGTTTTATCGTCCAATACGAAAATATCTTTATTCAATTTTATTCGATAATAATACAATAATACGTGAACAAGTTTATAATAGTGAACATGGATCTTATTTAACAGAAATTTTATGTGAACAATTACCATTAAAACCTACAATTGAACAACTTTGGTTTGGTACAAATCCAGATGAAGATCGACAATTACGTATGAAAACACTTCTACAATCATTATATTATTGTGATTTACCGAAAATTTATTCAATTTCACATGATTATTTTCTTTTTACTTGTATATTACGTTATATATATATGGAATTTTTTCGTTATTCATCTACATCAGCTATTTTACATACATATGAATTAATTGCATTTATTTCTCAAGCTGTTTTAATAACAGAATTACAACCTAAACCATTAATGAATTTACAATCAACTAATTTTTCTAATCAATATGATCATATACAAATAACAAATTATGAAACTCGTCCAATACAATTGGCACATTTATTTATGCGAGGTTTTGAAACAATTATATTTGCTAATGAAGTATGTGGCGCACCAATACATCCAAAATATTGTTGTCCATCACATTTTTTCAATGGAAAATTATTTCATCAGAAATATTTACAAGCTCAATATTATCAACAAAATCATGATTTAATGATGATCTTGTGTGATGGAAATGTAAGAAAAGCAATGAATCTATAAATAATGTTTTATGACCAGGAATGCACTTCGAAAGCATTGTGATTGTTTCGATCTAATTTTCTACAGTTCTATTACACTTTTATAATAATATGAAAGATAATCAATGATTACTATTATTTCTTTTATCCTAGGTGCATTGCGCACAAGTTGCTTCACAATTACTTGATGCTGTACTCGATCGAACACTCAGTGATAATTCTCATCATACTCCAATGCAACAACAATATCAATATGTTGCAGTACCACAACAACAGCAGCAACAACAACAACAACGTGTGTTAAAATATCCATCTCGACAAGTACAAGCACAAACACTTTTAGCAAATTCTACACGTCCGCCTGTGCGCACTAATATTAAACAATTAACGACAAATAATTTTAATAATCAACAACAAACACCTTTAACGAACTATCGTCAACAACAACAACCACCACCACCAGTTAAACAAGCCGGTCACATGAGAAATGGTGGAACAAAAAATAATAATAATGGTAAGTAAAGTCACCTATAGCTTTTTATTTTACAATGAATCTATATTCTTTCAGCTACTCCATTCATTAAAAAAACTCATCAACAATCAACAAAATTTAATATTCATACACCAACAAATATGAATTTTGTATCACAACCACAACCACCACCACAACAACAACATTCATTATCAGTTGATCAATGGGCTATTCCAGTAACGCCAACAATACCTTCAAATCATTTATCGATGCAAACACAACTTCACCAATCTTGTGCAATAAATAATATGCAACCTATGTCTCTTCAACATCAGCATTCATTAAATAATAAGTAAGATATTTCCTATAGTTTTTTTCATTATTTGACTAATATTCTTCTCATTAAGTTTTATCAATCCTCTTGATGAGCAATTCGTTCATCTTCAAATTCATCCACCATCTGTTATGGCAGCGCCAACACCAATTCAATATTCTCATCCAACACCAATGATAAATCCCCATATCCCAATAGCAACATATAGTCATCCTCACCCTCATCCATCACCCTATACGATTCCTAATGGTCCATTATTTTATCAACCATCACCATCATTATCAACAGGTAATTTTCAACAACCTATAGTAACACCATATCATCCTCATCAATCTCAAATGTTACCCGGTCTTCCACCGCATGCACCTATTGCTCCACAACGAACAGTTAATTTTACAACAACAATTCCAACAAATACTAATACTAATAATTATCAACAACAACACCAACAACAATCACAACGTCTTTCACCAAATTCAATTCAAGCACAAGAAATGAATATACAAGAATTACAACAACGTATTCTTGAACAACAAAAACATCAACCAACACCAATATTAATTCAACGGCAAATAAATAGAATACCAACTAATGATTATACCCCGTAAGTTATAAATATTTGTTTTAAACTAAAAATTTCTTTATTTTATAAATATTTAGATACGATATTCATCGATCAATGTCAAATAATGGAATTGCAATACCAATACAATCATGTCATCATCCGTCCATGATTGCCGAACATCAACAACGACTTCATGGTCATTGATATTCGGAACTTTTATTTTTCTTCTTTTAAATCAAATATTTCTCTTCTTTTTTTTCTTCTTTTACTCTATTATTAAGCAGTCTGTGAGACATTTCTTAACAAAACAAAAAATATTCGAATGATGATTCTAGTTAGATATATACATATATAATTTTACATAGATTAGGTGCGGTGATGTGACATGCACACATTTATAAATATACAGATTTTTTTTCTTTTTTTTTTTCGATACTTTTTTTTTCTAGTACTGTTGTATTGAAAAAACCACGGGATTCATTCTATAACATTTAATAATAAAGAAAGCTTAAAAAATCGCTTATTGTTTATTTGTTTTAAGATGATTTATTTGTTTTTATCACGTTCAATAGCATGGCCAATAAATATATTCGGTTCAAATTCAAATAATAAACCAGTATCGATTTTGGATGATGAATATCAAAGAAAAAAAAATCTTGATGAATCACCACCATTAATTTCAAATAAAGATCTTATAGCAAAAACTGAATTATCAAAAAATATGGATCAAACAAATTCTTTAATTAAAACAGATAGAATACCAAATCTTCCATCACCTAATGTTTTATCATTATTAGGAAAACATTATTTGACAAGAGAAGATCTAGAAAATTTAATACAAACTCGATTTAAACAAGAAACACCACGAGATCGTGTTGAAAGATTTCTTTGGAAAGAGTAAGATTCATACTTCAGTATGGGAAAAATATGTATATATAGAAACAGAAGTTAAATAACTAAAGGTTTAAAACTATTGGGTCCAGTGGTTTATTCAGCGGGGGGGGGGGGCACGGGGCTTTTTGCCCTCTCAGAGGGTGTCCCTGCCCCCCCTCCCCCCCCCGGGATTCAGAAAAATTACGCTTTTTGAGTCTGAAACTC